CATGGGTCGAACACCTTACAGCTTTTCCTTAGCCAAAGGGTATTGCTTCTGGAAAACGGGGTGTGTGTTAGGCTTTAGTGTGACTTTGTACGGTGTGTACAGGGTTACACATCCAACTTATCCCTTGTCCATACTTTGGGATCTACCCCTTCCAATTCCTAAATGGCAATAAAGCAATATGGTGATTCCATATGAACACCTCCTTCAGGGCTTACTGTAACGACACTTTCTAATTTTCCCAGTAAAGTTCAGCCTAACAAATTCACAGGACAATTTGGGATGACCTTAAAAGAATGGTTTATGATGTGACCTTGTCCATAGGGATTGCTCACCTCTAATGGTGGAGTTTCCCAGGTTTTGGTCAGAACCCCAGTTATACCCACAGAAGGTTCACACTCCAATACAGCACCCTTATAACATGCTGCCCTTAAACAAGAACGTGTGGCTCCATCGTCATCTCCAGAGCCTTTTTCTGGCTCTCAAATGATACCTACCAGATTCTTCGGATTTATCCTGCTCAGGCTGACTCCTCACTTGCAGCATCCCTCTCCTGTACTGCCTGCTCCTTTACACCCAATTGCTGTCTACTTGGTTTTGTTACCTTGCTTGCTACCAAGCCCTTTTTACCCTTTCCCTTCTTGGTCTTGGGCGTCATAGCAGCCACAGTTTCCTGCATCTGCTCCAACACCTTTCCCAATATAATTTTTGTTTCTTCCCACTCTCTACTTATTACACGCATTGATAGACCTGGAACTGAGTCTTCCCCTGAAAAACCCTCACAATCGCCATCCATCAACACCAAACGGCTTTATTGATTGGTTGGGGACAGCTGGGCAGAATCAGGGAAGGGAACACCTTTTGGTTGCAGAGGGGAAACCGGTGGAGTGGTAGGCGTGGCCCTATAGGTTGGGGAAGAATGTAATGAATGTCTCCCCTGATTACATAACAACAAATAATTCTCATCATCAGGGAGTTGAGGATACAGTTGAGTATAATCAGGAAATGCAGTGGCCGGGGTCAAGAAAAGGATTATTAGTCTGCTCAGCAATTTGGGCAGAAGGGGTATCCTGGAGCATATTTCAACCAATTTAACGCTCCCCCTTTCAGATAAGTCATATCCCACTCGGGATCTGGATCAAAATATGGAAAGGCAGTCTTGTCCCCTAAACATAGACCCTTTATCATGTCCATATGAAAATCATCTTTGTCTCCATTCCTTGGAAAAGAATTGGCACTACCCATGGCTTCAGTCCATCCCGCTAAGTTGGAAACCAATGAGTTAACATAATAGTAATCCAAAGGTGACACTGGCAACATATTACTTACATATCTCATAAACTGATGGCTGGGGTTTTTCTAGAGCGGATCCCTTTTCTTTAGTTATTTTTTTAAATTTCTTTTCTCGTAATACTTTACATGGTGGCTTAGGAGGACCTAGGTATTTCATCTTACCTTGGGAGTTTCTTATTGTCACTTAAAGCAAAGAAGCAGTGTTATGCGAGTGGGCCTATGTGTTTTTGTCCCAATGATTATTCTTTGTGCAGGGTGAAGCTGTACTGAACTCACGTAGAGGTCACAGCAAAATTCTTCTCCACTGCACAAGCGCTTCAAGGCTTAAAATCACTTGGACAAATACAACCCTATTCTGACTCTTTCAGACTGCCACCATGGTTTCACCTGTCCCAGGTTAGCAGGGAAACCCTCTCACTGAGCAGGTGGTGCGTCTTGCAATCGTCCAGTGACTTATAATATATCTACTTAATTTCTATTTGCAAGCGTACATAAGCAACTTAACACACTATTCTGTATGGCTGAAGGGAGGTTTTTAGAAATCAAATAAATCAACATAGGTTTTCAATCTTGCGAGCTCCCAAAGCTCCAGCGGACAACTGCTTGTGCTACCGCAGCACAGAGGCTTGTTTGAGATAGGAGGCAATCAGGGCAAAGTAAGACAAAATACTCACCTCCGACAGCCGGTCCTATCACACTTCTGAGACCAGTTCGGTTAGGATACTTCAATTTTGTGCTGGCGGCATCCGTTCAACCATGCCAGATACAAAGTACTTTGAGAATCATGCAATTCAGACACTGAGGTATGACATGCAGAATTCAAAGTCTTTTTTATTGAACTTGAGTTTAAAAGTGGAGATAACACTGAATATTTCAGTCAGTGTCTGTAAAGCACCAATCAGAATACATATTAGATGTTACAATAAATCACCATATGATATGTAATAGAAATATAGCAAACAGGATAATAAGTTCTGCAACCTTCAAGGCCAGAGACACTTGTAGATAACATTCCAGTCCCCAGAGAACATTCTGTTATGGGACTAAAAATTGGTTAGTAAGCACAAAGCAAAAGTTAGTTAACTATTAACCCTTTCAGGGTCTGTTATTTAAGGACTTGGAAAAAAGCACACCAGCCTGTGCATGATCTCTGAAAGCATTTTTAGTAAAACCATAAATCAACCTACTCAAAGATGTCCATACTAGCAAGACATATAAAATTCTTACAATCAGTTCATCCACTCCTCTTGCTCCAGAGGCTAGGGAGGACATCAAGATCCTAGTGGCTTACGGGTTTCGAGTTCCGTACCCTCTTCCTCAGGACCAAACCTATTTAAGGTCTCTCTTGGTTGCCCTTATATAGAAAATGGCAACAACATAGGGAGCTTTTGCACCTCCCCTACCGGGGTAGGCCCACTTTCCTGAGTCACATGATACACTGATCAGTCAAAAACTCATGTACATAGAACCAATCAAATTATATAAAAAGTTCTTTGGGACATCTCCAGTCCAGAGAGGGCAGCAAGGTACGGTGTGTTCTCCCATTCTATAATGCATGTGCTAAAAGTTTTGGATTCAGACACTCACACTCATGAGCAGGAGGGTTTATGTGTTACTAGTCTGTGATTAAAGGAGCCTGTGTCCTGTACTGTAAAATTAATAAGGATTTTTTTTTTTTTAGTTGCCTGTAAACATTTTCTTGGAATAATAGTACAGAATACAGGCACCCATCTTCTCTATCCTGACTGTTCCTTCTCTGGCCTGCTTCAAAACTATTGCTGGGGAGTAGGAGGTCATATGGGCTGTCTTGCAATTATGTTTGCCAGTGGCCAATCACCTGTAGGTGGCTGCATAAAATCCCAGGGTTTATGATTAAAGGAGCTTGTGTCCTGCCACTGCATGCCAAGAAAAGCTTTTGCAAACGCCAATGTCAGGAATGGACTGGCCAGCAATGGTGGGACTCACCTGCCTTATGGGCTGCAGTACCAGGGCTGGCCAGCGGGTGCTCCCAGCAATCAGAGACTCAACCTTGCAGCCAGCCAAACACCTGAAACTGCTTATACTGATGTATTTAAGGGATGGCCAGACCTGCAGACTCTGCCTTGGTGTGTGTTTCTCCTGGGCCCTGTATCCTGTTCCTGCTCCCTGTTCCTGTCTGATTCGTTGCTGACCCTGCTCTGATCCCTGGCTTTGTCTGACCATTCTCCTGCTCCTGATCCCTGGCTTTGTCTGACCATTCTCCTGCTCCTGATCCCTGGCTTTGTCTGACCATTCTCCTGCTCCTGATCCCAGGCTTTGTCTGACCATTCTCCTGCCTCCTGATCCCTGGCTTTGTCTGACCATTCTCCTGCTCCTGATCCCTGGCTTTGTCTGACCATTCTCCTGCTTAACCCCATACGTTCTGACCTCCTGTTGATAATCCCGGCCTGCCTGACGACGCTTGCATTGTATGTACTGTTATCTGTGGGTGGTTTGGTTTGGTTCGTTTGCACTGTGTCATGTTTTAGTATTGCACTGCGTTTATGTATTGTTAGTGTTAATAAATTATATTTATAACATATCTGAAGCCTGCCTTTCCCTGCGTCAGTCACATACCTCTGGTCCCACCCTGGAGCCCTGACATTACACCAAGGCCAATCCTGACCAGAAGTGGCTGCACAGGGAAGCCATCTTGGTTTGTTGATGGAAAGGATGGATCTTGATGAGGTTGTGTATTTATATCTGCTAGTGTTTGATGACAGAGAGTATGCTTATCAAACTCTGAAGGAGTATACACGGGATCAGCTGCTAGAATGTATACGGCTCGCTCATGTTCTAGTAGATCAGGGCACAGAATTCTCTGAGGTGCAGCCATTGATTCAGGTTTGTGCGGAGTTGGTTTCATCTGGCACCCTCGAATGCAGGGATGAATTTTTGCCGCCATTTAGTGCCGATCAGATAGAGTCCCTGGTGTGGTTATTAGAGGATGATGTGGATTACTTTCTGGAGCATTATGCTGCATGTTCACCACAGATACTAAGAGATTGTATAAACGCAGTGCAGTCTTTGGTCAGACAGGCTTTGTGTAAGCTCAACTTTGTTCAACCCATACTGCAGACATGGACAGATTTGTTGCACCCAGCCTCAGTCAGCCTACAAAAACCCAGTCCTGCTTCTAATCTATTTCCTCAAAGCTCTATTCCTGCATTCCCAACAGCTCCTCCTGCCCTGCTATCTACCGCATGTCAGTACCCTGTTCCCACTCGCTGCACCTATCCTGCCTTTAACCCTGTAAAAAAGCCCTCTGTAGCAACTGTTCACTCCCCTGTTCCATCCTCCAGCTCTTCTCTGTCTCCAGCTGCTCCATTAGTTTGCAGACCTGCGTTTACTTGCAGTGCTCCAGTAGTTAAAACCAGAAAAAAGCGAAAATTCTTTCCAACCAATACCATCCTGCCAGTATCCAAACCGGTGAGCCTGCCGTCTGAGAACCTGCCTTCCGTGGTTCAGCCTGGTGCCTCGGCACCCGCACTTCAGCCTGAGGTCTGTACCCAGCCTGATGCCTGTACCCAGCCTGATGCCTCTCTTCAGCCTGATGCCTCTCTTCAGCCTGATGCCTCTCTTCAGCCTGATGCCTCTCGTCAGCCTGATGCCTCTCGTCAGCCTGATGCCTCCACTCAGCCTGATGCCTCTACCCAGCATGATGAACTGATCCAGCCTGATGATCCTATTAGGCCAGTTGACTCGATGCCCGCTGTTGATCCAGATGATCCAGTACCTGATCCGGTGCCCGCTGTCGTGCCAATTGACTCAGAGCCCGCTGTCGTACCTGGTGACTCGGTGCCCACTGCCTTGCCAGATGACGCGGTGCCCGCTGGCGAGCCAAATGACCTGATGCCTGGTGACCCAGTGCCCGCAGTCATACCTGGTGACCCGATGCCCGCTGTCGAGCCAGACGATCCAATGCCTGGTGACCCGGTGCCCACTGCCTTGCCAGATGACGCGGTGCCCGCTGGCAAGCCAAATGACCTGATGCCTGGTGACCCAGTGCCCGCTGTCATACCTGGTGACCCGATGCCCGCTGTCGAGCCAGACAATCCGGTACCTGATGACCCGGTGCCCGCTGTCGTGCCAATTGACTCAGAGCCCACTGTCGTGCCTGGTGACTTGGTGCCCACTGTCTTGCCAGATGACGCGGTGCCCGCTGTTGAGCCAAATGACCTGATGCCTGGTGACCCGATGCCCGCTGTCCAGCCAGACGATCCAATGTCTGACCCAGTGCCCGCGGTCATGCCAGTTGACTCGGAGCCCACTGCCTTGCCAGATGACGCGGTGCCCGCTGTCGAGCCAAATGACCTGATGCCTGGTGACCCGATGCCCGCTGTCCAGCCAGACGATCCATTGTCTGACCCAGTGCCAGCGGTCATGCCAGTTGACTCGGAGCCCACTGTCGTGCCTGGTGACCCGGTGCCTGTCGCTCCGCCTGGGGGTCTGGCGCCCGCCGCTCCTCCTGGGGGTCCGGCGCCCGCCGCTCCGCCTGGGGGCCCGAGACCTGTCGCTCCGCCTGGGGGTCCGGTGCCCGCCGCTCCGCCTGGGGGCCCGGTGCCTGCTGCTCCGCTGCCTGCTGCTTCGCCTGGTGATCCGATGTGCCTCTGCCCGGAGTCCAGCCCGATTTGCCGCTGCCCGGAGTCCAGCCCGATGTGCCGCTGCCCGGTGTGCCTCTGCCCGGAGTTCTGCCCGATGGGCCTCTGCCCGATGGCCCGCTGCCCGGAGTCCTGCCGGTGTGCCGCTGCCCGGAGTCCTGCCCGGTGTGCCAGTCTTTGATATCCCGCCAGTTACCAGACCCGGGCGGTGGAACATTATGCCCAGCTAGGACTGTTTGGAGCGTCCTGAGGCCGCTCCTTGAGGGGGGGGGGTACTGTCAGGAATGGACTGGCCAGCAATGGTGGGACTCACCTGCCTTATGGGCTGCAGTACCAGGGCTGGCCAGCGGGTGCTCCCAGCAATCAGAGACTCAACCTTGCAGCCAGCCAAACACCTGAAACTGCTTATACTGATGTATTTAAGGGATGGCCAGACCTGCAGACTCTGCCTTGGTGTGTGTTTTCTCCTGGGCCCTGTATCCTGTTCCTGCTCCCTGTTCCTGTCTGATTCGTTGCTGACCCTGCTCTGATCCCTGGCTTTGTCTGACCATTCTCCTGCTCCTGATCCCTGGCTTTGTCTGACCATTCTCCTGCTCCTGATCCCTGGCTTTGTCTGACCATTCTCCTGCCTCCTGATCCCTGGCTTTGTCTGACCATTCTCCTGCTCCTGATCCCTGGCTTTGTCTGACCATTCTCCTGCTCCTGATCCCTGGCTTTGTCTGACCATTCTCCTGCTTAACCCCATACGTTCTGACCTCCTGTTGATAATCCCGGCCTGCCTGACGACGCTTGCATTGTATGTACTGTTATCTGTGGGTGGTTTGGTTAGGTTCGTTTGCACTGTGTTATGTTTTAGTATTGCACTGCGTTTATGTATTGTTAGTGTTAATAAATTATATTTATAACATATCTGAAGCCTGCGTTTCCCTGCATCAGTCACATACCTCTGGTCCCACCCTGGAACCCTGACAGCCAAGCTTTCTTGTGTTTTGCACTGAGGAGAGGCTTCCATCTAGCCACTCTGCCATAAAGCCCAGATCGGTGGAAGGCTGCAGGGATGGTTGTCCTGGAACTTTGTGTCATCTAAACACACAATCTCTAGAGTACAGTCAGAGTTACCATCAGGTTCTTCGCCACCTCCCTTACTAAGGCATCCAGTGCTCAGCTGAAGTCACAAGACTGCTCTAACTGCTGATAAGAAAAGGTATTTAGCAGTTTATATTTACGAAAAATAATTTCATTTCCATGTTGTGTGTACTATGGAAGACCAGATATAATGAATTCAGGCTCTTGGGTTTAGTAACACTTTAAGGACCTCATGGATCTTTTGAGTGAAAATGAGGGCACCTCCAATGAGTTGGAGGAGGAGTTGATCTCTCATACTGTGCCGCAGAGAGCCTTGGACAGACCACGGCACAGGCTGAGATCCCAAGTAAAAGCCTGGGTGATAGGAAGAGCTTGGGTAAACTTAACTACTTGGTAAGCACGCTATAGCCGAATTTCGGTGCAGGCTGTCTGGATTGCTGTGGATGTGAGGTGTGTAGGTGCTGGCTGTGATAGGCATGCGAGCTCGTACGGCTGGATTGGTGGAAGTTCTATTCTAGTGAGGGCAAAAGTGATGCAATGCGTTACTCAATGATATGAGCGGCAGCTGAGTTCATTTTTGGGGACCCCGCTGATTGAATTGGCACCATTATAGCTATTTATACACTGGATAGTGGTGGGTTTAGTAGCGGCTGGCTGCACGTGGTGGGGGTTTGTTGAGGTAAGAAATATAAAGGCAGATTTGGAGAACTTGGACCACTTTGTTGGTTATATTGAAACGCAATATATATGTGTGGTTTTGTTTTATTTTTTCAGAGAGATATTTATTGGAGGCTGTTTGGTCTCTTTCCTTTCTCCTCCCTTTTGCATGTGGTGAAATATGAAGATTGGGAGCTACTTTAGATATGTGATTGGAAGCATTTCAGGAATGGGTCTGGAGTAGTATATATGTTCATTGACATTTTCTAGCTGGGATGAAACTCTCCCTTCTTCCTTGTGGAATACCAGGTATGTGCTTCGGATTTCCTTATGAGTATGGATATTGGATATTGAATTGATTATACATAAGAAATAAATTCCTGTTTATTTTTTGCTCGTTTGCATGTAAATATGAACTGCGAAGACCTTATGGAAGGACTTATGTGATTCATTTTCTAATGGACTGATTATCTTTGAGTTGCCCGGTTTACCAAGTGAGTTTTTGGAGATATATAGTATAACCTGATATGTCCTCTAACTAGGCTATGAGGGTAAAAGGAGATATGCTTCAGTCCTTTTTTCATTTTTTTATAATACATTTATCCTTATCTGTTCCTTCTTTGTTTCCTGGGTAGGATAAATTCACACTTTTTTGAATATTGTGCTCAATAATAATTGATGCCCACCCATGGTTGATTTGCTGAGCCCCTCTGCTCGCTATTGCGCTGCACCTAGACGACATGTAAGTTTGTAAAAAATAATTTGCATTATTTAGATACATTGAAATGTACATGTGAAGATATTTAGATTTAGATTTTTTTCTCTAGTCAGACTTTATTGGTCCTCTAACCCCAAGGTTCATGGTCCTGAAGAAGCTAAAAATGCACTGACCTCTTGGAGAACATAAAAGCAGGGATAATGTTTAGAATGATGCAGTATTAGGGCCGTTTTTAAAAGCATGTAAAATTATTTTTATGTACGTTTTAATAACATTGTAATTTTATAGAGACGTGTCAGTCCTACATACCAGAAAAATCCCATAATTTTGTTGGTTTCTAGGTATTTGCCTTTCCAAATCACGTCCAATCAATTTAATTTACCACAGGTAGACTCTAATCAAGGTATAGTTACATCTCAGCAACAATCAAGAAAAATAGGAGGCACCTGAGCTAAAATTTCAGTAGTTGCAAAGGGTCTGAATACTTATGCCAATGTGATATTTCAGTTTTTTATTAATACATTCACAGACATTTCTAAAATTCTGTCTTTGCCAAGTCACATTATGGGGTACTGAGTGTAGATTAATGAGGGAAAACAACAAATTTAAGCAAATGTATTAGGCTGCAACAAAATGGATTTGAAAAAAGTGAAGGGGGGCTGTGATAGGCATGTGAGCTCATACGGCTGGATTGGTGGAAGTTTTTTTTATTATTTTTATATTTTATTATTACTTTTTTTATTATTATTTTTATAAATCCTTGCACGTGATTGGGCGTTCTTTGTAAAGTCAGTTTTCACTTCACCTTATGAAAACTTACTTTACAAAGGGAACCTGCCCTAGTGAAAAAAGCTTCCTCTCTTCACTCCTAGAACAGGCTTTTGGAGCAGGTTGAACTTTGAGTCAACACAGGGCTGTAGATTCTTCCACCATCTGCATGTGACAGAGCTGGGTACCTAAAATGGCAAATTTCCAGGCACCATCACGAGGTTACGTGCTTCCATATACGCAAAATATTTCCCTGTGCAAATGCAGCTACAGGGGAGTGAAGGGAATGGGGAGTTTGTGCAGCTGTGGGGGATCAGGAAAAAAAAAAAGAATTCCAATCAATGTGGAAGGAAAGATGAAGAAGAGGAAAGAAAATAAAAAAATAAAAAGGACATTTTTACACAAATTTACAGCTGCTATATGGAGGTTTTTTTGACTCGAAAAGAGAAATAAACAGCCCCTATGAAAAAGTCTTGTTAGATGTGATAGCAAGAGGAATGGTATGGTTTACTTTAAAGGATAAGTTCACCTTTTGAAAAATAAATAACAAATGCATATTTTTTGCAGGTAAAAAAAATTTGCATTTTTTTCCCCTAAGCCTGCAGAGCATTGCACCTGCAACCAGCAGATCACGGATGCAATGTCAGACTCCTGCAGACTCAGGATAGCTACCTCGTACAGCCGGGCAATTACTTGAGAGCAGGAAGATCAATAAACTACAAGAAAGTTCACCAGCCACAATGGATGACGGTGCTTGTAGTCTATTCATTCACAGGAAACTTTGTGAATAAACAATACAGCCATGTGGGCGGAGCCCTGCATAGCTGCGCTATTTTCCAATTGTGACAACAGGTGCGGGGAGAAGATCCCCTGTGGAGTGTTTTTGCAAGGAAGAGAGGGCAAATATTGTCAAGTCAAGATGTGCCATGCTGATAGACTTATACCCAAAAAGACTGAGTGCTGGAATAAAATCAAAAGGTGCTTCAACAAAGTATTAGTTTAAGGGTGTGCACACTTATGCAACCATATTATTTTAGGTTTTTAGGTTTACCCCACCAAAAGAGTTCAGTTTGTTTTTTCAATTGAGTTGTACACTTTATAGGTCACATTCAAGGTGGAAAAAGTTCTGAAATGATTTATCTTTGTCTCATTTTCTTACATCACAGAAACCTGACATTTTAACAGGGGTGTGTAGACTTTCTATATCGCGTATATATATATCTATATCTATCCCTGATCATAAAAAAATTATTCACAGCGACAGAGAGCATAACAGGAAGAGTGCAACTGCAATATTAAGATAACATAACTCTTTAATTTCCTTATAAATTTATTGAAAAAGATATACTTTAAATGAAATACAATTATAAAAATGCCTGCATTATACATTTTCACACAAAGCTGATACCCAGCTGAAATCTGTCTTTCGTATCCTTTTCAGTTCTTTTTCTTGGGCTTTGGATAGTTGAGCATATTTGGTGGGGATAATAGAGGGAACAGGATCTTGACTTTCTGCCGTTTCCTGCAGATCTTCATCTGAATCAGCATCTGCATTTTCACTTTCCATTTCTACCTCTTTGCTCACCGGCTCTGGGCTGTAGCAAAATACCATATTTTAAAAGGTTACAATCTTGTAAGGCTAGACAAATCCAATTTTGCTGAAAATTGTAATCTAACTACTGTCCCAAAGATTTTGGAGGACTTATGGGACCCTCAAGCATTTTGCACACTTCTAGTATTTGACGATGTACCAATAATTACGGCAATTTGAAGGGGCATTTAACCCATAAGAAACACAGCAGACAGGAGGTTTTCGGAACTGTCAGCAACAGAGAATAAGAATAAAATAACTGAAGTTTTATAGAAGCACCACCCACATTTTAAGAAAGAACAATTGACAGATCAGTGAATACTACCACAAGCCTAATTTCTAATGGCATGTGCAAGCAAAACCTGATGTTCCCTTCACATTATGCTTTGCATTAATGCACATGCAATCCTTATGTTCAGCAACAGGTCCCACTTACATGAAAAAATACTTAAAGCAACAAACACATACATTATAAATTGGGCTAGGACTTCTTGAACTTTTTCGGAGGACCCAAATAAGAAAATTGTTACCTTACAAGGAGTCAAGAAAAGTATTATCACCAAAAACCTGAAACATTAAAAGTATTTGTTTCCATTAGGGATGCACTGATACAGATTTTTTAAGCGGCAAGTACGAGTACAGATGTTTTCGGTCAAGTACTCGCTGTTACAGATACTTTGCGGTGCGATTTACGTTACTAAAAAATGTATGGACACAAATTGCACAGCAAAGACTAACATGCAATTTGAATAGGAATGCGATTCCCATCCAAATCGTATGCAGTTTTCCTTCAGCTTCTGTGTGAACCTATGCCCGAGGTAACACAGGAGTGGTGCAGGAAGCCTCCCTGCAGGGATCCCATGCTGAGCGGAGAGTGGGGATTGTATACTATGGAGGCAGATGCTCCATATTCTCAGCGGTAGGAGAGAAAGCGGCGTCACATAGACGGCGCTGAACAATCAGATGCAGTCTAGCCCGAACGGTCATCGCTGCAAGAAGAAAAGAGAAAGCTGCTTCACAGGTCTGGGGATTTGAAATCCCCGCGGCTTTCTCTCTCTATCAAGGTGTGCAAAATTATTAGGCAGCTTCTTTTCCTCAGGCAAAATGGGCCAAAAAAGAAATTAACTGACTCTAAAAAGTAAAAAAATTGTAGAAATTGTAGTCAACAGGGTCGCAAGAAACGTGTTGAGAAAAAAGAAGCAAATTAACTGCCAAAGATTTGAGAAGAATCAAACGTAAGCGACCAGGAACCCATTCTCCTCCAGTGCTGTCATATTCCAGAACTGCAATCTACTTGGCATTCCCAGAAACAAGTGTCTTGTTCAGTGGTGGTCGGATTTCAGCCTTCCTTACCTTGGCCTTAAGTTGAAACGTCAAGACTGGGCCATAAAATATCTGAAGACAGATTTTTTTTTAAATGTTTTATGGACTAATGATATGAGAGTGACTCTTGATGGACCAAATGGATGGGCCCGTGGCTGGATCAGTAACGGGCACAAAGCTCCACTTCGGCTCAGACGCCAGTAAGGTGGAGGTGGGGTACTGGTATGTGCTGGTATCATTCAAGATGAGCTAGCTGCACCTTTTCAGGTTGAAGATGGACTCAAAATTAACTCCCAAACCTACTGCCGGTTTTTAGAAGACACTTTCTTCAAGAAGTGGTACAGGAAAAAAATCTGCATCTTTCAAGAAGACCTTGATATTTCTGCAGGACAATGCTCCATCGCATGCATCAAACTACTTCACTGCGTGGCTAGCTAGTAAAGGCCTTAAAGCTGAAAGAATAATGACATGGCCCCCTTTCTCACCTGAACTAAACACTATTGAGAATGTATGGACCCTTCTTAAACAGAAGATTAACAGTGAAGGAAAACAGTACACCGCTCTGAACAGTGTCTGGGAGACTGTGGTTGCTGCTGCACAAAGTTCATAGTCAACAGATCAAGAAACTGAGAGACTCCATGAATGGAACTCTTATGACTGTTATTGAAAAGAAGGGTGGCTATATTAGTCACTGATTTTTTTTTTTTTTTGAAATGTCAGAAATGTTTATTATTCTCACTTTAACAGATGAAAACAAGTGAAATGGGAAAATTATGTTTTTCATTTAGTTGCAAAATAATTCTGCACACTAATTGTTGCCCAATAATTGTGCACACATAGATATTCTCTTAAGATAGCCAAAACGTCACTTACTTGCTTAAATATTCAGATTTGATGTTTAATAACATTTTGGATTGACTGAGAGCACTGTAGTTGTTCAATAATGAAATTAATCCTCAAAAATACAACTTGCCTAATAATTGTGCAAACAGTGTAAAACGCTTTATTAACTGAGAAAACAAAAAAAACTAAATGAACTCACATTAGCCAAATCAGATGAGCACTTTCAACAATCCTACATGGGTTACAAAAGGATCCTGGCCAGAGAAACTGTGTGCCTCAAAACAACCTTTGCAAACTGTGCAGGCAGACTGGGATAAGCATTACACATACTCCCGACAAGAGCCTGTAGTCTTGTTGGCCACTCTTCAATCAAGCTTCCATGGTAGGCTTGGTGACAATGAGTTTTGGAGGTGTGTTCCCCTTACTCAAGTATGCCAATATAAAAATATTGTGGCCCAAAGTAAATTAACCACTTCAACGCCGGGCACTTTTACCCCCAGGGCAATTTTCAGGTTTCAGCACTCTCACACTTTGCATGACAACTGCGCAGTCGTGCAAAACTGTACCCAAACTAAATTTTTATCATTTTGTTCATTCAACTAGAGCTTTCTTTTGGTGGTATTTATTCACCACTGGGGTTTATTTTTATTAACAAAAAAAGACCGAAAAGTTTAAAAAAACCACAAGATTTTCTTTGTTTCTGTTATAAAATAATTGTTTTTCATAAATTTAGGCCAAGATGTACAGTGGGGCAAAAAAGTATTTATTCAGCCATCAATTGTGCAAGTTCGCCCACTTAAAAAGATGAGAGAGGCCTGCAATTGGCATCATAGGTAGACCTCAACTATGAGAGACAAAATGAGAAAAAAAATTCAGATAATCACATTGGCTGATTTGGAAAGATTTTATTTGCAAATTATGGTGGAAAATAAGTATTTGGTCACCTAAAACAAGCAAGATTTCTGGCTCTCACAGACCTGTACCTTCTTCTTTAAGAGGCTCCTCTGTCCTGCACTCATTACCTGTATCAATGGCACCTGTTTGAACTTGTTATCAGTATAAAAGACACCTGTCCACAACCTCAAACAGTCACACTCCAAACTCCACTATGGTGAAGACCAAACAATGATCTCAGAAAAGGGTATTTTACAGTGAGTAACAAAAAATCCAGTTTTCTCTCTTGTTCATTGATGGACACAGGCTCTTCTTATTCTTGACCATAGGGATGGAATAGAAACACTCAAACTGCAGCTTACAGAAAGGAAGCATTTGAAGACGCACATGTCCACCTCATAAAACTTAGTAAGTGTGCACAGATGACCGGGGAGCAGCCTTACAAACTTGAGACACTGACGCCTGATGTCAGAACGCCCAGGAGGCAATAATCTCCCTGGCAGAATGTGCTGTAACAGGGAAGGAAGGAATCTGACTCTTAATGTTATAAGCTTGATGAACCACCCTCTGCCTGATCCACCTAGAGATGGTGGCAGAGGAGGCCTGTCCGTGACCACAAAGAGTCCAGTCTCCAAAAAGAAGCTGTAAAAGAAATATACACCCGAATTGCCTGAACCACATCCAAGGAATGCAATGAAACCTCCTTAGGGTGTGAGGGCAATGGGCACAGGGAAGACAAGACAATGTCCTAATTCAAATGAAAATCAGACACCCCCTTCAGAAGTAAGGACACGGAAAAAGAACCAGCTTATCCTCACATAAGACCAAATAAGGAGCCCTGCAGGACAAGGCCGCCAGCCCCAACACTGTGCGCAGAAGTGAGAGCCACTAAAAAGGTGACTGAGATCGTGTAAGCAAGGAAAGATCCCAAATGTTCTCAAACAGAGGCTTCTGAAGGACCAAAAAGGACCAGGTTCAAGTCCCACAGAGTCAAAGGAGAATTTACTGGTGCAGCCACATGTCGAACCCCCTGAATGAAGGTAGGGATCAATAAGTGTGTGGACAAGGAACTCTGAAAGAAAATCGCATGGGCAGAAACCAGGCCTTTAACCTCCCTAGCGGTCTGATTATGTCAGTATATCTGTGCTCAAAGCGGTACTTTTTTTGCATGGAAATATGTAGTTTTTTTTATTGTAGGCCTGTAATTTGTAGGAATAACTCACTGAAATCTGTCCGAACAAGAGTCTAGTAAACATCCCGGGTTAAAATTTGAAACACGAAATCATAAATTATAATTTAATCATAAAAAATAATAATATAATAATACATTTAATTCAATAATATAATCAAACCAAAAACACTGAAATCTGAAATAGAGCGCCAAGTTCCTACATCACTGAGTAAAGTCGCAAAATCGTTTTCAGTGTCTGATGACGAATTTCCCCACGAATCATCACTCAATTCTGCAAGTAGTTCTAATTTACTATCGCTGTTCTCTAGCTGGCCTAAAACCGCTTTTGACATAAAGAGACGCTTTTTGGACGCCATGGACATTTCTCAGTTTCAAGGCAGAAAGAACAGTAAAAATGCAGGCAGGGCACAGGACAAAGCACTAGGGACAAAATGTATGTGAAATGGTTTGATACAGTAATGTTATACTATGTGATTTTAGTGTATTTAGTGAATGTCACTTTTTAACATTTGTAAATTTCCCGCCAGTTCCATCTTCGTACATCCTGACGTTGCAGGGAACGGAACCCGGAAGACAGATGCCGGCATCGGCCGGGGACGCTGCAGGGGGGACATCGCGGGAGCGCAGGACAAGGTAAGTGCAGAAGGGATCCTGGAGCAACGCTGAAGGGTATTCCCGAGTGTAGCTCGGGGTTACCGCTTGTGGTGCTGAAACTTTACCCTGAGCTACACTCGGGAATACCGCCAGGGAGG